TTGAAACTTCGACGGTCAACTTAATTTTTTATCATAGTTAAGTGGTATCTCGTATAGTTTACCGTAGTTTTTATTCAACCCGAACTTCTTTGTATTATTAACACAGTGCTCAAAAGACTTGTTCAATTTATTGAAGATGGTATGGCCGGGCATTTTAACCGGCTTAGTCCAATCATGCAATCAATCGTCCCATAATAATTTCCTCTCCTATGCATGTCGGCAAACAGTTTTTAACTCCATACTTTATGAACTACCCCACAATATATATATGATCCAACTTTATCTGCTTTTATTTTGAATACTGTGTCTAAATTATTTAATAAATTCTACATTCACCATTATAAGATATCAATTATATCAACTGAATTAGAATTCAATAGATGGAATTGACCTGGTTTGATTATGGAATAAAAGGAAGCAAAAAGATTGGATAGTTTTGTTGTCCGGCATTGTAATTTAAAATAATTTTAATCTAAAATGTCACTATATTTAACTTAAAAAGTTATATAAATTTATAACATTTTTTTTGTTGCAATTAAAAAATTATATTACAGGAGTTTAAGGCTTATACTAGAAATATTACGAAGAATATAATATTTTTTGTCGTAATTTGTTCAACTTAAAAAGTTACTATGTCTAGTCTAAAAATTTATATTTTTGATAAAAGTTTTTATTACAACTGATTTCTACCATTTTTAGTCTTATATCAAAAGATTATACTTAATAAATTGTATTTTAGAATTTGATGAGAAGGTCACGGTTTAAACATCAACCGTTTGTGGGACTCATGGTGTTTACTAGTACAATGTTGAAAGTTTAATTAACAGTTAGGTAGTGTCATTAATCAATTTTATATTTATAGAAAAAGGAATTTTTTAAAAAAAATAGGGAAAAGGACATGTACGACAAAAAAAGTTTACTGGGTGAAGGCAGATAAAATGAACTGCAATTCTGTCATCAACTGAAATAGAATTCTATTACAATGATTTGATTTATTGATTTCTATCTTCTGCTGTCTTTTTTTGGCCCCAGATAGTGGTAGGACAGCAAAAAGAAGAAGAAAAAAACAGCACCAGGAACTAATTACTATGCCAGGGAGGCCCTCGGGCAATAATAGGAATGGATTGATGGAGATGACGAGAGCGATTGTTTTTTTTTAATTTAAAATTCTTATATAATTCAAATATTTTATTTATATTTTTAATAATCTATTATCATTATTTCTAAAATGTTATAAAATTATATTTCTTAAAATTTTATAAATTCACATTTTAATATAGAATTTGATATCCTCTCTAAATAAAATTTGTTAGCAGAGCTGAAATTCCAGCAGCAGGAACGATGATCCAGCCAATGTAGGTGGTCAGACTTTACTGTTAAATTTGCTTTAATGGATGCTGTTGCCAATAATTAATTTAGTGTGGATTTTTTTTCATGCGACGGGACTAGTATTCCCTTACACTCTAAAAAAGTCACTTTTATTAATTAATTAAATTTTCTATAAATTATTACTATTTCTTTTCTTAAGTGATGGGTGTGGTTCCAAGCTCCATAAATGTTTATGGACTCTAGAATATCTATATCTATATATATATAATAAGATCATGTGATCGACTCTTTTCCTTTTTGGTTTTGATTTTGATTGTGGAACATCGCATATACAAAATAGTGTTTTAGCTTTGATCATGTGCTTGTTGGTCCATTTCATGTCACTTTTCATGAACATATAGGGTGTTTGATTTTTCTTTTCCTTTTCCAATGTTTACATAAATTATATGATTATGTAATTTTTTTTGGGATAGAATTCAGGTTTATTTTATGGTTTATGTTGGGTTCATAGTTTTTTAATAATATTTTATTTAAAGTTTGGATTTGATTTCTTTCGGTAAAATCACTTATATTTATTGATCAATTAATTCAAATCATGTACTATAGAGATTTATTATATGAATAATTCTCGTAATCCAATTTATTCTAGTCACAACATCAAGATTCAAATTCTTAACCTTACTTTAGAAATATAATGCATCATCTCAATATATCAATAATTGTTGATTTATGTTTTTAAAATACAATATTTTTTAAAACCCATAAAATGACCTCAGTGGTTAAGGAGAGTGTTGTTCACTCTAGAAATCTTGAGTTTAAGCAACTGCGATGTAATGTGTATGTATATTGTCAAAAATTAAAATAAATTATAAACAAATATTATAATATAATCATATTATTTTAAAACATACAATATCCTTTAAAATGATGTGATACGCAATGATTGAGAATATATATATTTGTGTTCTTATATTTGGCTTTTGATTTATTTATTTTTTGGTTACAACAAAGGAAGGAAAAGCTGCGTTAGCATGTTTGTCTTCTTCTCAAGAGAGCTTGGTCAACCTTAAGAATTCCTTGCACAACAGAGGGCGGTTGCTGAAAAAACGAGTCTCCATACTACCATCCCGTCTCATGCTAGCCATTCTGTCAGCACGTTTGTTCGCTTCACGAGGAGTGTATTTGATCTCACACTTCCATTGCCGAGAAAATAAGCTTCTAATTCTTCTGGTTATTGAAGATTCATGCATCAAGGGTGAAGAGTTAAGGCATCTCGCCACTTCCAAATTGTCTGTTTCCACCTTCAAGCTTCGAAAACCAAGATTCCATGCCAGCTCAAGCCCGTCAAACACCGCCCAAAGCTCCGCTTGGTGCACCGAGCACCGCCCTATCATCCTGGTATAACCAAATACCCAGGCTCCATTACAATCTCGTAAAACTCAGCTTAACGCCACCATCTTTTCAAACATATAAAATTAACTTCCACTAAACAACTAAAGTAAAATAAAATTTTACATATAACCATCTCATACACAAAAATTACAACTTCCTAGAGATTTAGCACTTCAAATTAGATTGAATATATTTATTTGGTTTAGTTAGAGGAGATATTAGATTCTTTAAGTAATATAGATATTTGAATTTTGGTCATTGTAAATAGAATAAATTAGGTTGGAGGACCTCCTTAATAATATGTAAAATCAGATATGGATTAGTCAATTTATATTGGATACCAATAATTAATTAAAAAAATAATTAAACACTTTTTTGTCTTTTAATTTATAAATAAAAATGAGTTTGAATAACATACCCAATATACCAAAATATAGTTAAAAAAATAATTACACTTTAAAACCCGGCAATTGTGGCAAGTCATCCGGACCCAACCTCTCATAACAACTGCATATGTTGTATGAATTATCGCCACAGTTTCCAGATTTAAAGTTGATTAATTTTTCTATTATTTTCCGTCTTGCATTGCAATATTATTTTGATTCTATGCCTATATACAAAAACTCAAAATAAAACTAAAAAAAGGGGCAGAAATCAAATAAACAAACAATAAGCAGCTTGTTGCTTGAACCCTAATGGATGATTGGGTGGATAAAAATGAATCAGATTGAAATTTGAAGAAAACTGCAAATCCCCAAAAAATATTAGCAGTAGTAACAGTAATATAACACTGTGTCACTGTGTACTTTGATGATGATCATCCATCGTTTGGAGACTCGGAGATGCTCTCTAAGTCAGGTCTCCACACCCCTACTCGACCCCTTCTTCGATCCCTTTGCGTTGACAGCTTCTCCGAAAGTATCTCGCTTAAATACCGATCCGATACCAAGAGATTCGTCATTGAAATTGTGTTGTTCTTGTCGGCACTGCTCCTGCTTCGGCTGCGACTGTGCTGTCTACTCCGAATGTTGCTGCTGCCGCTGTTATCGATATTATCTCTTTTTTCTTCTTGGTTGATTTCGATTGGTTTTTTTCGAGTGTCGAAGGAAGTGGTATAAGGAAGTATATCTTCCCGCGTTGTAGCTCGGCCTCGGGTGGGACGATGATGATTTTCGGGACCATCCTGTCATCGGAAGCAGAGGAGGGTTTCTTAAGAACGTGCTTAGGGTAAGCCTTCATGATTTCTCTGGCTTTGACGGTACCACTGATTTCCTCGACGCGGCCACTTGAGTGTACTATTCGAATCACATCGAGTGCTCCACAGGGAAGAATGCAAGAGATGCAGCACCTAATTGTGTTCTTCATAGCTCTTTATTTTGGTCTCTCATAGAGAGAGATAAAAGAACAAAGAAGATGAAAAAGAAAAAGAGGAGGAAACGAAGGAATGAAAGAAATATAAGAAAGAAAAATGTCTTTTTCTTTGGCTTTACCTAACTCAAAGAGAGTTGGAATCAGTGGCATATAAGTAAAAGAAATTAAAATATTTCATATCTCTGCCTTTTTGAGGGAATTTCTTCTTCTTCTTCTCCCACTTACATCCATGGCATGAATAATTGCACCTTACACTGTACTTTGCCTTTCGGATACATCATTTAGGGGCCCAATTTCATTCACTTCACTAAGATCAATAATTTTGGGGAGAACTTACACTACTGCAGCAAAACATGTTTTAGCGGTCGACGCTTGAAAAAACGCCGTAAAAAGTGCCACTATAACAAACGTCTCAACCGTTAACGGTATTTGTGAACAAAAAACGCAGCAAAAGGTCGTTACATATAGCGCCGTTTGTTTCCAAAACGCCGTTATATGTTGTGATATAGTGACATTTTTTACCACAAAAGCCGTTATTGACTATTTATTTAGTGGAGTTTGTCTTTAAAAATGCTATTATTGACTATGTATTTAGTGGTGTTTGTCTTTGAAAACGCCGCAAATGAGCCCATCATTAGTGGCATTTCATCTAAAAACGCCGCAAATGACACTATTAGGAGCACCTGCATGAGTTGCATAAAACACCATTAAAGCCCTTTTTTACACCCACAGTAAATTAATTCTACAAATCAAAGCATATATTCCAGATATTAAATAAAAACAAGTCACTTGAAACTAAAAAGGGTGGAAGCATTAATTTCATGAAAATACATACAAATGTATACATATGTGTTACATATACTAGAAACAAAAAGCAACCTAGTTGCATCTGTATTTTCATGCTTCCCACTTATGCCTTTGATTTCCAATGACAACCTTTCCCAACTTCTCGCTACATCCAAAACTCCATTGACATTTTGGTTACCGATATATTTATGGACAAAGTAGAATTGGAATAGAAGGAAATCACTTGATCTTCAATACCCAAAAAACTTGGTTGAGAATCCATATTCCATGTCTTTAATGTGAAAGAAGAAACTATACTATTGTCTCTATCACACTTGATATGATTTACCACTTGACCATCGTGATTGTGAAATGTTCCAGTAGTGGAAGATGTCTATACCAGAAACAGAAGTTATTAGAGAACATACTAGTGAATAAACTATAGAGCTGGGCATGAGCAATAATTTTAATATATTAACTAAACCCCTTTTTAGTTATTATATGAAAATTTTCTTTAAACAGGGTAGATAACAATATCAAATAACAAGCAAAGCAAAGGAACACAAGTCGAGCTTAATACAATCCAGTTCATAATGAACACAAATAATTATTAAAGCTTTCTAGTTTCCTTATGTAGCTAATTTATTCCCAGGCAACTAAAATATTTCTGTTTTGAGGCAGCCAAATGGCAGAGGCAATTGATCTAATATACCCAGCAAGCAAAGAATTAAACACCAATCTAACAGATTTCTACTTCACTAATTCAATAATGTGAACTAATTCAATCAACAAATCTGAAGAATCCAACAGCAAGCAAAGGATTAAACACCAATTTGGCAGATTTTTACTCCACTAATTCAAGCAAATGGTGAATTATCATATGGGAAAACATCTTAAACATGATATTTGAATAAAAAAAGGAGGTCACTTACATAGAATCTTCAATTACTAGACAACTTTAAAGGTTCTCTATTTAGCTTTGTAGCAGCTTCCAGGAATCTTTAATAGGAAATAGAGAGTGTTAGACTTTGATAAGGAAAAAAGAATTTACAATTTTATGTTCATATTAGATAAAATACATCTAACATAATTGCAGACCATATACTGAGACAACTCACATTTCAGGACTTGGCTTCCCTGTTGTCACTTCATCACCGCCAACAATGAAAGAGAACATTCTTTCCAACCTTGGTGAAAATAAATTTTAGATTCAATGTTTCCCTATGAGAGTTTGAAGCTAATGCCAGAGGCACACCATGACTACTCAAATGTTGAAGTAGTTAACAACAATAACATAAAACCTGACTTACTGGGCAGAGAATACTGAATACATTTCTGCAAGAAATTAATCATTTCCACAAGGAAGTCCATACTCTTCAACAGTAACTGCAGCAACTTCCAATGGCGTTTTTCCTATTGTTTTTTAGCTTCCCTTCCATCCCATTGTTTCCCATAGTTACCCAAGAATACTTTTAAAACCTCAATTATTACACCATCTGTCATTTTATTTAAAACAAAAATTCATTCAATATAAATCAATACCTAATTCCTTTGCATAATATCAAGAAAGCAATAGTCTCAAATCTTTATAAAATCGAGTCAAGTGAAAAGAGGAACCTGAGAGGATTAGAGGACCAGATTGGGGCTGAAGGGTCAAGTGAGTGAAGATTGCCACCAGGGACAAGAATGTCTTCTAATAAACCATATTCATCAAAAATCCATTCGTTGGAATTTTCAAGGGAAACCAGATCCTCCGCATGCTGTTGCGCAGAAGTAAAGAAAACAAAAGAAGAAAAGAGAGAGAGAGAGATTACAGAGATGTGGAACGAGTAATTTGATTGATTTGGAGAAATACCTCGTATCTTTGGATTGGCGAGACCTATTTGGGGTCTTCAAAAAATGCTTTAGATAATGATGTTGTCCGGCAATGAAGCCTTCAAACTTGAGATGGGTGGTGTTGTCTGGTAGTGAAGCCCTCAAACCTTGTGAATCACCAGATTCGGGAAAGAAAGTGAGATCGGCGAAGAAGCAGGTTTGGGTAAACGGCGGGAATGATAAAATAGGTGAAGGAAAAAAATGAAAAAGGGTTAAAGGGGTTTGGGACTTAGAAACGCAAAACTTGCAGCGTTTGTAAATATACATGTCATTAAAGTATAGATAAATTACGGTTTTTATTGAAAAAACGTCATTAAAATATGAATCTGTTGCAACATTTTTTTGAAAACGCCATTATATATGTGTCAAATTATGGTGTTTGTTTTAAAGTGCAATTAAAGTACGAATATTTAGCGGCGTTTATTAAAAATGTTACTAAAATACGAGCTTATAGCGGCGTTTGCTTAAACATACCACTAAAATATGAGTTTTTAGCGACGTTTGTTTAAAAACGCCGTTAAAATTACGAGATTGTGGCGTTTTAGTGGCGGTTGCAATCAAAACACCGTAATAAGCACCGCTACATACTTGTTTCACTGTAGTTTATGGGTGACACATGTTGCTGCATGATTGGAACTGCCAAGTAAACTAGAACAAGAGCCTAATGACACGTGTTTCAATCACCACATGACACATCATTTCCTAGACCCAAAATGCCACTGACATTAGATGAGGAAGCAATTTACTTGGGGGACATCGACACACAGAGAGAAATGAAAGGTATTTGTTTAGAGTCACCGACAGATCCACACTAGGTTTAGGTCTCTTAAAATTCAATTTTTTAAAATTTTTATTTATATTTATTATGAAATCTTATTGTGCTCATATTATATATAAATTTATGTTATTAATAAATGCATGTATATCTTAAAAAATATTTATAGATCCGTTACTATTTTGAGTTAAAATAAATTGGGCATTTTGAGAAAAGAGTTTGAGGGGATTAAGGTTTAGAGGAATCTTCTTTTGAGAATGAACTGTGAATTGTGATCTTCCATTATCCCCAAGCAATATCATGTGGCTAATGGTAGAGTTATTTTTTGTGGTTTTAGATTTTTTTTAAAGTGCTTTGACTATATTTTGTTATGGTGATTGTCTAGGCACCCTTCACTTTTACTTTTCCATATATAGCTTCATTCCAATTTCTAAATTCCTTTTTTTTACTAATATCTATGTCAGTTGGTAGAGCACAAAGTTCTTAACCTTGAGGTCGTGGGATCGAGTCCCACGGAGGGCATTTCATAATTCGGAGGTCTCTTACGAAAGCTGCTCTCAACTTGGTGTTGAGGGTAGCCTACTATCTTACCTCCCCCTTATCTCATACATATGGAAAAAGGGACAACCAGCCTATGTCCATATTTAAAATTATATAATCCCGAATGATTAAATTAAATTTATTTATTTATTAAAATACAATATATTTTATTATTGTATCTAATATTTATAAATGTCACGTATATATAATAATTTCAAAAAAAAAATCTAAGTAACCATGACACAAAAGATCCAAACTAATCCCTTAATATTAAATGGTTGGATTTGATGTTTTATAATTCCATTTTCACTTGCGGGGTCCATAATCAAAATGGGTATGACCGGATAGAGAATTAAACAAAAGTTAATAATATTTTTTAATAGTTTAGGAGGATTATAAGATAATATAATATATATTTATATTTTTTAATTAATTAAAAATGCATGTACAACTTGAACACGTAATTATTCAAATTCAAAACCTCTAAAAATAATATTCTTTTTTTTAAATTATTTAAACCACTTGAATTGATGGATTTGAAAAAATTAACAGTTAAATTTTATTAATCTCCCATCCAAGCCGCCCTACCAATTAAATGGTTGGGATGTAGATGTTAGTGGGTAACATGTGATAGCATGGAGAAAGGAGGGTCCATTGAAATTTCGAAGGGATTTTTCTTTCTTTTTCTTTGAAAGAATCTTGGCAAAATTGCCAAATCCAATCACCTTGTTTTTTTCATGAGAACTTATTTGACTGGCATACAATACTTTTTAATCACCCGTTGTGTTAATTAATTGAATTATTAAAGATATTCATGTTGTAACACCTTATATGGCTTCAAATCTCAATATTTATCTTGAAAATATGAACCTTTGTATTTAATCAAAAGAATATGATTAAACAACTAATATATGATAAATAAAAAAATTGGGTCCCCTTAACTACACATCAATCACATTTACAAAATTCCCTTAATCTTTACTTAGACAAATAATGTAATACCCCTTAGTCTATTTGAAAATTAGGTTAGAAATATCACTTCGAACGATAAAAATAAAAAATTAACAAAAAAAAAATTAATTAATTAGAGTTACAATCAAATTATTTCGTCTAAAATTACAACTCGATTTAAATTTGAAACTTTTTCGACTCGAGTTTATGAAATTACAACTCGAAATCAATTCGAGTCAAGTTTTTTCAAGTCGAAAAAATTGGTTTTTCGAGTCGAGTCGTGTTTTGCTCACCCCTAGACACACCCAGAATACGAGTCTAAAATTTTCCTCTAAGTTTAACCAGAAAGAAAATCTGTCTAAATTGAATTTTGGGGACTCAATTGGCCTTTATTTGAAAATGAATTGATTAAATGGTTAAATTGAAAGATTAGTGACTTAATTGAAAGAAATAAAAATATTATGGACTGGATTGTAAGGTGTATAAAACCTAAACCCTAGAAAGTTAGGGGCTTATCTCACAATTTTCTCAATTTCTCGAGGCTATACAAACGTCTTTTGTCCTAAAAAAAATCCATTTTTTTCTATTATCTTTTTCAAAACCCTAGTGTTCTACTCCTTTTCAAGTGTCGCATACCTCCCCCTGTTTTGGCATATCTAATTTCGTCTGTACTTTATTCACTCCAAGCCTAGTAAAATGAGTGAGGAGTGAGGCTATTACAAGTTGGGCCATCACTTTTATGTAATTTAAAAGTTTGGGGCAGGCACCAGTAACAGTACTGGCCCATTCTGTTTTCTGTCATGCAGATTTCAAACCGGATAGAGTTAGATCTCGGTAATATTAAACGCACACAACATATAATATGAGTTTGTTTAATTGTACAAAATCTTATATAATGGTTTTTTTAAAAGTTTATTATATAAAAATAAAAACTAAAAACACACTCATTCAATAATATTAATTATCATTTATAACTAGGATATTTTAGATAATTTTAACTAAATTAATATTTAATTAAATGGTAACATTAATTGATTCGCTGCTTTAAATATAAATAATTCGTGTGCAATGTATTATGCTCTTGGAGAAGACGAGAAAAAGAGCTGTCTTTTGGGTAATGGAAATATACATGTTTCTTATACAAGTGGCCATAAACTAAATAAAGCCTAAAGGAAAAGTGCTTTTGATTTCACTTGCAATATTAATATATATCCATATGCACACACATTTTCACCAAGAAAAGGGTGGAGAAGATATTTGAAAGAGAAAGAAGGAAAGGAATAAAGGGAAATGGTATAATTAGGAAGTGGATGATGATCGACTAAAAAAAATACATGAGCTTGGGCATATGCAAGTGGCATGCTCCCACATATCTAAAACTTGTGTTGTGAAATCAACTTTAAATCTATACGTATGTTTTGATTGTCTCCCCCTCCAATATGAGGCCAGGAAACTCCATAGCCTACAAGTTTAGAGAGGGATGAAAGTACTATTTTATATTAGACTATCTAACTTATAAAATTTTAGAGATGATTAGGATAAATTATCATTAAATTATATAAAAATTTAAAATTTCAAGAAAACGACAACCATGAATCGCAACTGTGGGTTTAGAAACTCCCCCCGAGAGCCTCCCAGTTTCCACTACTTTATTTTGGTGTTTTTGATCTTTATTTCCTCACCTTGACATAAAGATTCGGCACCATCTCTTTGTTCGCTTCCATTGGTTCTTCATTTTCACCCTCACATTGCACGTCCAAAGGTTGCCAATATCTGCAGTGGTTCTTTTAATTGTAACCCAGTTTTTGGTTCACTTTTTATCTTCCCTTTTCAACCAATTAAAAGATCTATCTCTTTTGTAGGCCACCAGTTTACACACTTCTTCACTTTCACCCCATTTCTCTTGTCCATATGGATTACGTATCTACTTTTTCTTTTGCCTTCTTCACCATTATTATTCATATACATTTACGATATTTCAAATATGTATTTATGATTTTTTTTAAAAAGGGTTAAATATATATGGCTTAAAATTATCCATTTCCAACACTTTAATATTCGAAGTTGTATATAGTTGAACTTATTGAATGGGTTCGGTGATAAAATAAATTGTTATT